CAACATGAAAGACAGATTGAAAGACATAGAAGATCAGTTTGGGGAGTGGGAGCCGAGTGGTGCCTCCTGTCCTGAGAGCCGAGTGGTGCCTCCTGTCCTGAGAGTCACTGGTTCACGCCCTGGGAGCCGAGTGGTGCCTCCTGTCCTGAGAGTCACTGGTTCACGCCCTGGACGCCTACAATCCAACCAGCAGTAATTTGGGTACATTAATTTAGAGTTGGGGATGTGATTGTAGCCAATTGCAGTGCCGGCCAAACTGAATCCTTGTGTCCCGAAAAAAGGCTTATTTTACAATGTGTTATATCAATACTGCCACTGACGAACCATTAGGCCTATGGGACCCACTTTCACGTTCCAATGGTTAGTGACATCCTTGTAGCAGCTCGTGTCGCACTAGACCAAGTGTCAGATCTAGGTCACTGTAAACAAGAGTGGCTGGTCACGCCGAAAATCACGACCAAGCGTTTGTGGCAACACTGAAAATATTTTACGGACGCGATCGTTGTCAGGTCGTGACGTGTTATATGTTTTACCCCTTTACGTGTCATGTGAGAAATATACTTCTAATGAAAGTCTTACGTGCTTCATAAAGCGTGTAACTGTTGCTTTCACTAACTATGTATAAATTAAGACAAATATATGGAAATCTTGACATGTTGTAAAATTTACTTAATTCTTCCCATCGTGTTCGGAACGGCTGTAAGAGACAATTATCTGATGGTGGGAATAATAATTTCACCCAGTCACGACCACAGCAAAGTGAGTCGCGAAAATTTCTCTTTTCATAAATTTTTCACAGGTCGTTCGTTGTATGTGACAACCCACCTCTGAATATTGTCTCTCTGCCTTATGTTGAACTTGTGAGAAACCTTGGCTGTGATAACTCGTATAACGGACAAAAAATTGTTTGTTGTTCCTACCTCCATGTTATGTACTGTATCCTACTGTAAGGTTGTATGTACTGTTTCTCCTGGCTAAATGATGAAGATTGCTTCCTCCTCTCTCTTACCCACCATTCATACTGTCCACCCCATCCCATGTCCACCTCACTCATGGTCTTTTCCTCACTTCCTCTCATCCATCATCATCCTTACCAGCCAGCGTTGACCTCACACTCTCACCTTATCTACACTAAGCATGAAGACCTTCACTGTATCTTCCTCACGACCTTCCCTCCAATATCGTTTTTCATCCCAATAAAAACTAACTTAGTTCTCTTTTGGTCACCTGTACAAAAATTTATTAAACATTGAACGAAAATATCTTCTTAGTGTTTCGTAAGTCAATGTTTAAATCTTATGATAAAGAGCTAAATACAAGATGATATTTCACATAACCTCAAGAACATAGAGCTGCGTTTGTTAAAGTTAGGATGTGAAGGCCTGGGAGTGGCTGAGTCCCTCTTGTGATGCTTGACAAAAAACAGCTGTGTGGCGGGGTGGTAGTGGTGTGTGACGTCAGGAGCCAGTAAGGTATATATAAGCGGGAGAAGCCACCGAGAGGCATCATTGCTTCTACAGCTCTACTACTATCATGAACACTAAGGTAACCTGAGTCTTAGAGTGTGGAAGATCATTTATCAAGTTATTGTAAAGCTCCCACAAAGTGCTTATATCAAGAACATTTATCTAAATTTTGTTAGTCTATTCAAAAATTGTTTTTGTCATGCACTCATGGTGATTTTAAATTGTTATTTTAATTCTTCTTGTTGTAATTAATCGATTTTTTTCCTAGATCCTCCTCCTGCTGGGTGTGGTGGCCGTGGCTGCTGCAGACAAGCTCCCTCGCCCCTCCTACTCCTACGCCGCCCCTCAGGTAGTGTGCTTTACAAGGATGACTTCAACACTACTCTTAGAGATTATTTTCTTATAAAAGAAAATAATTTAATTTAAATGATTAATACAGCTCGATCATGAGCGAGAAACTTCTTATACTTTGTTGAATCTAAGTTTATTTGGTAGTTATATGGACATAATATCGATAAATCCCATGGCCATAGACAAGGAATAATCAACCCTCTTCTGCAACATAGAATTATATAATTAATCACAGTAAGTGTGGTCAGTTTTGGTCCTCTTAACATATCCTGATGGAAGATATCCTTTGAAAATCTCTGTAAGGGCGTGACTCCCTTTCACTGTAAATGACTTGTGTGTAATAATGTAGCATTAGATTAATACAAATATTCTTCCGTCTTTCCAGGAATCCGAGGAATCAGATGAATCAGATGAATCAGATGAATATTCAGTAGAATCTACCGAGGCCAAATACGACTTCGACTGGTCAGTGAAGGACGAGGACTCCGGCAACGACTTCGGTCACCAAGAGTCTCGTGATGGCGACAACACCAAGGGGTCGTACTCTGTGCAGCTTCCCGACGGCCGTCTCCAGACTGTGACTTACTACGTGGACGGTGACTCAGGCTACGTCGCCGAGGTCAAGTACGAGGGTGAGGCTCAATACCCCGAGTCTGATGAGTCTGATGAGTCTGATGAGTCTTACGAATACACAGCACCCAGGCCCCGGTACTCCGCCCCTGAGCCTGAAGAGTCTGTGGAGGCTCCCGTGTACGCCCCACGAAGGAGATTCTACTATGCCCCTGACTCTAATGAATCAAAGTAACAACAACAACACGAAGACATGACAGATGTGAGTGGAGGATCTTCACCTTGTGAGGACATCGTCTCCACAGTACGAGACTCAGACAGGTGTGTCAAGGTGACCTCCTTATCTTCCTTCACAGCCTCTTGGTTATCATGACACCATTTCTTTCTCCCCTCATCTCTACAACTCTTTATTTCTTGATCAGACTCGGGCTGTGTTCCCAACTTATTCTGTCTAAAATATTTATACGCTATACAGCCTTACATCCTTCACCAGTATTACATCTTCTCCACTCCTGCTAAATTATTGAAAAAGAATGAATAATATTTATTTATTATTAATAAATGTATTGAAGTAACATAAAATATGTTATTATTCCAAACAAACTTATAAACAAATCTGCAGATCTTAAGTTAATCATAAATTAATATCTCACATTGTTAACTGTATACATATAACATGTCTGCGTATAAGTGCCTATAACTCAATATATCATGAGGCAACAATATACAGAATTTATTTTATAACTCCAGTTACTCGGAAAAGTACTGAAATATTTGCATTAAGGAGAGAATGTATGAATAATTTAAGGAACAGTTTTAAGGCAAATCACACCTATATAATATGTATAAGGTCTGAGAAATTCGAATGACATAGACAAAGCTTAATAGTAGTCAATATTACACCAAAAAGAACGTCGACTGTGGGAGATTGAATACCCAGAAGAAGACCAACCTGGTGAATATAGAGGATCAGAATGCATTTATGGGATGCGAGAGAGACCGTCATCCTGCAGGGTGTGGATGGCGGTCTAGTTGTGGATCCCATAAGGGTTTCCTCCTAAGGACCAAATCATTACTAAAATGATATTCACATTGATATTAACTGTAATATTGGTCGTACTGAGTTTGCTCTTGATAAACTTTTAGGTTCAAAGAAAATTAGGGACAGTTTGGGTAATTGAGAGAAAAACTAGAGAAAGAAAGATAGGAGAAGAACAAGAGAGAAAGGGGCAAATAAGAGAATCCGGGAAAACGAAGGAATAACTCCGATTACTAGTGATGGCTTACCGTATTAGACATAAACTGTTAGACATAATAATTCTCGTTGTAATTCTCGTCTTGTATATCTAGTCTGAGCTCCAAGCACTGGTGTCTTACCTTCCTTCAGTTGAGTTCACATGACTGCCGACTATAACAACACAGTCATATACTTTTACTGTTTCTCCATGGTGTTGTGAGTAACATTCTCATTAATATCTGTTCATTTTTCTATTTAAAGTTTTCTCATAGTTACTATCTTCTCCACGTCACTAAAATAGCCCTTTATTTTAGTTCTCATTTCATATCTGTTTGTAATTTACTACTCCCTCGCGTTATGGTTCAGTTGTCCTTTACTGTAACTCAACTTAATTCAACTACTAAGCACTCGAGGGAAACTCACAATATCATCATCATGGGAAGTCTGTAACTATAGACTCAGCGAGACTCGACACCAACTATAACATATTACTATAAAAACTTCCTAACTATATATTTAACTTAAACAACAAGAATATAGTGAAACGTCAACAGAATAAGCTAAAGTGTAATAATAATATGGAAAAGTGACAATAAAGTGTTACCAGTATTTAGTAAAATGTCATAAGGATAAGTTAAAGTGCTGCGAGAATAGTAGTAATATATAATAAAAATATAATAACAATTAAAAATATATTTAAATTGGTACCAAAGTTTACCAAAATGCCCAAATAAAATAATAAAATGCCAATAGAAAATAGTAGTGCCACAAGAATATCGCAAAGTGTCAAACTAGTATAATGGTATAACAGAAGTCATTATTTTCACTTTCTCATCCACACTTGATCTTGTACCACTTTATAATTCTCCTTAGTAAGTGGTGTTCCTCTTTGACCCATTGATAATAATCTCCACATTTATTATTTTCTATACCATCCCATTATTCTTCACCCATTTATTTCCAACTTGTCTCCTCATTGCCATTATTTCACACTTTATCATTTATCATTATTCCACACTAGTTTACAATCATAATACCACACTTAAAAGTCTTTTTCATGTGCACATTAACTACACTTCCACATCAAATTAATTATCAAAAAACTTACTCATCTTTTATGTTCATCAATTGATTTAAGTAATAAAAATTAACAAAAAAATTTGAGGAAATTTAAATATTTCCTCAAGGTGTAATTTTCAGTGATATGGTAATGAAGACGCATAAAATCATTGAGGATAACTTTCACAGACGCCTCAGGTGAAGAATACAAGGATCTATTGCAAAATGGCTGAAGGTTTCGGAGTGGCTGAGTCCTTGCTGTGATACTTTATATTAAAAAAAACTAGTGTCGCGGGGTAGTAGTGGTGTGTGACGTCATGAGCCAGTAAGGTATATATACGCGGGAGAAGCCAACGAGAGGCATCATAGCTTCTCCAGCTCTACTACCATCATGAACACTAAGGTAGCCTGAGTTTTAGCGTGTGGAAGATCACTATTGGAGTTAGACTGAATTTATCCACCAAACAGATACAGCTTGAGCACTTTTTTTTAATTATGTTAAACTAATAATAAAATCCTATTGTCATACTCTTTATATGATTGTTCTTGTGATGATCATGTGGCTGTTTCAATTAAATTCATCAATTAATATTTTTTCCTCAGATCCTCCTCCTGCTAGGTTTGGTGGCCGTGGCTGCTGCTGACAGGCGCCCATCATACTCCTACTCAGCTCCTCAGGTAAAGTGTCCGTCCAGGAAGACAACACAAAGATGTTAACTCATTTGATAAAAAAAAAAAAAAATATTCGTGACTAATTTTAACAAACTGATATTTTACTTAAATCGATAAATAACCCAAACTCAACAATTTTTAAGCAATACAAAAACTAAAAGATACACTTGATCACACCTATTAGTTGGTCATTACATTTATAAAGTATGTCACATTTTCCCCTTCTTTTTGACATTACAAGTTTGTGTTGTATTTTGTAGAACTCCAGCAAGAAATTTAAAATGAGGAATATTATATATGGTGGTGTATCAGTAGAAAATTAATGAAAATTAATTTTTTTCCAGGAATCCGAGGAATCAGAGGAATCAGATGAATATTCAGCAGAATCTACTGAGGCCAAATACGACTTCGACTGGTCAGTGAAGGACGAGGACTCCGGCAACGACTTCGGTCACCAGGAGTCTCGTGATGGTGACAACACCAAGGGGTCGTACTACGTGCAGCTTCCCGACGGTCGTCTCCAGACTGTGACTTACTACGTGGACGGTGACTCAGGCTACGTCGCCGAGGTCAAGTACGAGGGTGAGGCTCAATACCCCGAGTCTGATGAGTCTGATGAGTCTGATGAGTCTGATGAGTCTTACGAATACACAGCACCCAGGCCCCGGTACTCCGCCCCTGAGCCTGAAGAGTCTGTAGAGGCTCCCGTGTATGCCCCACCAAGGAGATTCTACTATGCCCCTGACTCTAACGAATCAAAGTAAACAACAACAACACGAAGACATGACAGATGTGAGTGGAGGATCTTCACCTACAACCACTGCCAGTATGTTGTATCAACTCTACCTGCAGTATTCGTACTAAATTATTGAATGTGAAATATTACTATTTATTTATTATGAAGAAATATACTGAATGAATCTTAAAACAACTTTAAATTGACCCATACAAACATGCAAACAGTGGAACAGTTTGTCGTCATTCTTATTTATGTACAATTATACATCATATACATGTTCATGAATGTGTCTGTGAATATATTTAAAAATTACATACTTATATAGTGTATGTATACCTCGTACACTTGACTATGGTGGAACAACTGGCATCCTACTGTACTAATTCACATCAGCTTCGAATGACGAGAATTTTATCAAGGGTGTGAGGTAAACCATTAGTTAGTTGAAGCTATGAACCATGATATCCTCCTGTCCATCCGTACCAGAAAACGTCTTGGCAGGCATGTGTGTGTTGCAGTAAGATCATAGTCGGAAGTACAACACTGCCTCAGCATAATAATGTGCCTACAGATATAATAATGTCCACTATTGAGGTTAACTGTTATGAAGCAAAATAACTTATATAAGAAAGTTAATTTGATTTGTATTTTAAATGATTAAAGAACATTTTTAAATAGAGAAATGTTATAAAACTCAAATTTAGATTCGCATATGAGGGAAGGATTTAAAGGAAAAGTAGGATGGTAGGAATTAATCTATCATTAAACTCCCCATACTTTTAGCATTCTTAGAAACCATCACAAATTCTAGAAGTTGATTTATTGATTAGTGAGTGGAGGAGCAACACGCTTAGCAATCAACAGCCAATCAGATTACAAGCATTACTAAAGTGGGCGTGTCATGTTTGATTGATTATTTGCGTGGAGATTTCAACACCGTCAAGTAGGAATCCATTATCTCTCTACGACACTGAGTTGAATACTGATGTGTTCATTAGTTTAGAGTTTTTAGAGGGATAAATGTGCAAGTGTAAATAAAATAGAGAGAATTAAGAGGCAAATTGAGAAAAACGAAGAGAGAGAAAGGATTAGAGAAAGAGTGAATATCGACGATGAAAAGAATGAACAACAAATTAAGAAAGAGAGAAAGAAAGCAACAGAATAAGGAGTACACCATCCCATCAGACTATCTACCTCCACCTATTATCGTCATTCTTATTTGAAAGGCGTGTGAGGTCAGTGCTGGTACTTCACTCACCTACTTTCATACAGACCACTAGTTCGCTTCAGATACACCCCTACCTTCCTCCCGCCAGTCGATACAATTGTTAATAGATTCCTGATTTTTGTTGAGGTAGTGCAGGTGTTGGAGAGCAGTACCAAGGATCTGTGCTAGATATTCCTTGACCTGCATTTAGAGTTCTATATCCTCACTCCCTATAACAAATGGTACAGCCAATTGGATCCTCTTACACACTAAACCAAGAAGCATACAATTGGGTATAAGAAACAGCTAGTGATTCCCACGTGTTAACAGTGACAAGATAAGTGAACCTTAACCTAGATGGACACTAGAAATATATTCAAACATAATTAATTCTTCTATATACTGTACATATAGTGATAAAGGTTCCTTAATCCAGATACAAAAGTTAAGTGGAAGTAGTTGGAGATCTTAGTAAAATATTCTTAGTTATTGAATCAGAATTAGTCTCCATCATAATCGGCTTCAATCCAAGTGTAAGCAAAGTTATGTTAAACTCTCTCAGGGGAAACAGGGATGTGATTACCACTTACCATAGTGATAGAAAGTTCGTGGTGCAGGATCGATTTTAGCCATTAAACGTTTTATATGGTAAGTTAACTATATATTTTGATACAATAATTTTAGTGAAGTTCTTTCCAGTCTCCCTCAATATCTTCCTCATTAAGTGTTATTTCATCCCAATTTCCTTATCCATATCGTTATCCTTATCCTTATCCTTATCCTTATCCTTATCCTTATCCTTATACAATTTCCATCATTATTATCACCATTTTGTTTGTTCTACATTTCCTCATATCTATTACTACAAAATCTAACACCTTTACGTAGTCACCTGCTCCTTCATTAGACACCTTATCAAAAGCAGAAACTTAATATTTATTGTAATCAACGGATCCAGATTGCGGAATTATACAAATATTTGAGAGAAAACTTTAAGGCAGTTTCTCAAGGTGTAAGTTACAGGAATATGCTAATTAAGAGATAGAAAATACAGGGGAAAAAATCAAGGACCTGTTGCAACATGTCTGAAGGTTTGGGAGTGGCTAAGTCCTCGCTGTGTCGTGGGGCTGGTGGTGTGTGACGTCATGACCCAACAGGGTATATATACGAGGGAGAAGCCAACGAGAGGCATCATTGTTTGTACAGCTCTACCATCATGAACACTAAGGTAACCAGAGTCTTGGCCAGTTTAAGATTACTAATGGAGTTACAGTGCAGTTGATCATTAAATATCTACAGCAGGACCGCTAATCTAAATACTTTTAAAGTATAGATATGATTTTTACTTCATATTCACGTGATTAAAAGTTGTTTTTCTGGTGATTAAGAACCAACAGCTTTACTTGTATTGATTAATGACACTTCTTTCCCTTAGATCCTCCTCCTGCTGGGTATGGTGGCCGTGGCTGCTGCTGACAAGCGCCCCTCATACTCCTACGCCGCCCCTCAGGTAATGAGTCCGACCAGCAAGACAACGAAGATGAAAATTAATCTAATTCAAAGCCAAGCAGTTATTGTTTTGGTTTTTCTACTTTGACGATCAGTTACTAAGACCAAATTTTACCCCATATGAAGCTATGAAATATTTCTTAGTCCATAACTTAATCTAAATATTACTCTTTTTTAAATTTATAGAACAATTAATATATAAATTCAGTCAAATACCTCAGTATAATTCTTGTAAACATAGGGTTAATATCTCATGAAAACCTTTGTAATGAATCTAAAGTGTTAGTTGTATTCGTAGAAAATTCACGAATTCATATTTTCCAGGAATCTGAGGAATCCGATGAATACTCAGCAGAATCAACTGAGGCCAAATACGACTTCGACTGGTCAGTGAAGGACGAGGACTCCGGTAACGACTTCGGTCACCAGGAGTCTCGTGATGGTGACAACACCAAGGGGTCGTACTCTGTGCAGCTTCCCGACGGTCGTCTCCAGACTGTGACTTACTATGTGGATGGTGACTCAGGCTACGTCGCCGAGGTCAAGTACGAGGGTGAAGCTCAATACCCCGAGTCTGATGAGTCTGATGAGTCTGATGAGTCTTACGAATACACAGCACCCAGGCCCCGGTACTCCGCCCCAGAGCCTGAAGAGTCTGTGGAGGCTCCCGTGTACGCCCCACCAAGGAGATTCTACTATGCCCCTGACTCTAACGAATCAAAGTAAAAAACAACAACACGAAGACATGACAGATGTGAGTGGAGGATCTTCACCTTGTGAGGACATCGTCTCCACAGTACGAGACTCAGACAGGTGTGTCAAGGTGACCTCCTTATCTTCCTTCACAGCCTCTTGGTTATCATGACACCATTTCCCTCTTCCCTCATCTCTATAACTCTTTATTTCGTGATCAAATTTAATATGTTCTTTGACATATTATGTCTGAGTTTTGTTATTCATAAACAATGAGGCCTATAATCATTGCTTATGTATACGGCATGACTTAATGTACTTGATAAATTATTCAAATTTAATTATTATCACTATGTATTTATTTTGAATCAATATATTAAAAGAATATTACAATATTTGGTTTTTCTCTCACTTGTGTGAGTATATTCGACAAAAATTTATATGATAATTTTTTTTCTGTGTCCTAAACTACTTGGGATGCCTGTGTTGGCTGGGATTCATATTCTTAGCTAAGTCCAGTTGATGTATAAGTCGGTATCACTTCACGGGCCTAAATTAAATGTGGGCGTGAACTGACAAGTCAGAGTCAGTCTACTGCTACCTTCGGCCACCTCCGGACACACCACCAACAGCTAACCTTGGGAGAAGGGAGTGGTCAGGTATCTATAGCCGTTCCAGGGGATCTGACAATCTGTACCAATCGTGAACCAATACATATATAACCAAATTAATAGGTAATAAGCTATATTATTCAAGAACCACAGCAGAATAATGACGCCACGAGTTCTAATCATAAATGAAATTGACTTCTGAGAGGACACTCCGGCGATCTCGTTTAATATAATTGAGAAGGAAATCTTAATGAACTGGCAGGAAAGAACAGGATACTGAGAGACGACAAATAGTAACAAGTAATGACGAAAGAGTACAGTACATGGACCTTCAGGATATTGTAAGTAAGTTGGAAGTAGTCTCTCTCTCTCTCTCTCTCTAGGTGAAAGAGACCTATAATTAGTGTGTTTTCTTCACAAGTAAGAGAGGCTATGCACTAGTAAAGGTCACGGCTGTAACAACTCACTAAACCAGAAAACTTGAAACTGTTTTTTAACAAGTTTCTGTCTCTAGTTATGACCTTCATCTTTAAGTGTTTACCTCGCTGTCTCAGTGTATGTCTAGTTCATACAAAAAGTATTATGGATTATTATTGATCTGATTTAAAGAAGTGGGTTGTAAGGTCTTATTAATTATAATCATGAGTTAGTTGTTAGATAATATTAGACTCAGTTCTATTAAGGCATTATTTGCTGTGAATTATCAGTTTGAGTCGTAGTCTACATCTGCTTTACCTTGATTGTATTAGAAATAAATCTCTTGGTGTAAATGCACAGACGGAGAGCATAGCTGGTACCGGTTCACTCGGCACCACCAGCATGTGTTTAGCCTTAAGCTGCTATAACACCCGCATTCCCACGTCGACCAAGCAGTCCTTAGAATTTTATCGCCTCATAATGTTTCCAAAGTGACAACTATGTCTGTATGAATTAGTAATATTAGTGATGAAGCCCTTAACACCTGGCGGATAGTTCTTCTCACTGCTATGCGATTAAGGGAGGGGTGTGACTTTGTGGCTGGTCATAACCTTGAGAGAAATTTTGTGGTTACGTTCAGGAAACAAAATCCATCACAAACGGTCAAGGTGTTGATGTTGTTTATAGGATCCATGACTGTCCAGAGAGTGAGTTCTTTATTTCCTGATTCTCAACTTCCAGTACCTTGAAGGAGGGATCGACAAACGCCTATACCTGTAATATTAACTTAAGGTACTAATTGTCACTCCAGGTTATCTGAGTGGCTTTAATCTTCCGAATAACATGGTCTTCCTTCAGTACTCGGATGGAAAGTTGCCCATTGACCTTTCCTCATCAACCATACTGCTTGGTTGAATCAAGTACCTGGCGTCCCTGTGCTTAAGAAACTCGTCTCTCTAGTCTTCCCATCGATCTTCTTCCTCTCCTTGTTCTTCTGTCGCGGAAAAAAAAAACAGAACTTGATATATCTCGGCATTAATTAATGATACAGTGGGGTTGTCCCGCCTCAGAGCTGTCAGCAAGAGTTCTAGGTGTAAATCCCATCAATATCATCCCATCGTGTTCAGCATGTAGGTCTAGGACGTCGGGAATACCAGCAGGGTGTCGCCGTATCGTTGATTATACTGTGAGAACTTAAGCCTATCTTAGTCTCTTACTTTCATGGCTTGGTTGCAGGTCCCAGTTTCAGGATTAATTGAGTCCCAGGTGAGAGTTAAGGTGCAGATTGAGGTGAGGCGTGAAGACCTTGAGGGAAAGGGGGAGAGGTGGCTTAGTGTAATCAGGTAAGGGTGTAAAAAGCATGAGAAAATAGGTCAACTTACTGGTATGTGCATATGCCTCGGAGCTGTGTTTTTTGTGTGTATGAGAGGATGGATGAAGAGAGGGGAGGGAGGGAGGGAGGGAGAGAGGGAGGGAGGGACTGACCGAGAAAAGTATTGGTTGATGGAGGAAGAGGGAGAAGGTAGGATGAGATAAGTAGCCTTGGGAAAAAGAATAAGGGTAGGAAATGAGGTTAGTAGGTAACAAAAAGACGATAGCTAAACGATAAATAACTATAGGTATCGTAAAAGAGAAAAATGGTTTAACGATAAACGATATAGGGCGGAGGGGTAGGTCAGATTGGCTAACATCAGGACCCCAGAGATCAAATTCCACTCTTGTCGACGCCTATCACCTGACCTCCCCGTATACCTGATCTACACCACGCTGGCCCACTTTCCCTTATAAAGATTACCATACATCCACACAGGTTTCGAAGGACCTCTACATCTGTACTAGCAATGATGACCTGGAGTGTTGACTGTGGATTAGATGTCAGATAGTTGGTTGAGTGACATTATGGCCTTGGTTGTTGATAGCATTATGAGTACAAGGTCTCGCGTACACCTCCTGCCTCACTATACACGGCTTAACACTCGTTCTCTTTGTGTCTCTATCGATGTCAAGACTACTCACAAAAAATCTAGAATGATAAAACAGCTCCTAAAAGATTTAGAATGTTAAAAATTATTCTCAAAATGTCGCAATTCTAATAGATTCTAAATCTAATCAGTCCCATTTCTAATAGGCCCTACCCCTAATAGTCCCAAGAGCAAGTGAGACCTGGTCCTAATAGGCCTCAATTGTAATGGACCTTAGTTCTAATAGACTTTAATTCTAATGGGCCCCAGTACTAATAAGCCTCAGTCCTAATATAATATGTCTCACCTTAAGTTATGCATTCCACGACAGGATTCATTGACTTTTGGACCCAATAAAGCAGATGCTACTAGAAGTAGGGCCCATCAGGACTGGACCCCAAATACAATGGGATGGTTACATTAGGTTAGGATAGTTTAGGGGTTTTCATAAGACCCATCTGACCAACGCCTGTAAACACCTCACCACACCCTCGTTGTGAAATCTTCTTCCTGTCCTTCTGTCTTAAGTCACCGACAACCTTATCTGGGAGTCAACACGTCACTCGTTTTGTCTGTGGATATCTGAGATTCTCTTGTATTACGTGCAGCTATACATGACACTTCCTTGTCGACATACGGGTTTCTAAGGCATAATAACACTTCCGAGTCATGAGATATATTGAAGCAGAGTCACAGACACGGATGTAAATGTCAACACGGAGGGAGTAAGGAAGTACTATCAGGAAGGGGCGGAGTGTTGTGGACATTGGCCAAGACCAGTTTTTTACCGCGCTTCTTGACGCGAGAAAAAACAGGCAGTGTAGACCAGGGCCAGTGCAACGACGTCACGACTCAGGGGATATATATATTGAGCAGCGTCCTGGATACACTACAGTCCTCTGACTATCTCCACAACATAATAATGAACTTTATGGTAAGTCAAGTTTTACATTTCAAAAAGCCTTTTTGTTTTAAAATTCATCTCAACTTGGATCTTTATAAAGGATTTTTTACGTCATTATCTGCAGAAAATTACAATGGAAAATCTCAGTACTTTCATATGTTATAATTGAGAGGTTTAGCAGTAAGACAATATATGGTTACAGGTGTTGGTGTTGCTGGGTGTGGTGGCCGCTGCTGTAGCTGACTCCCCGGCAGCCTACTACTACTCGGCTCCTCAGGTGAGAGTTACGCCACGGCCAGGTGTTGTTGTCTATGTAAAGGTTACCTCTGTAGTGTTACGACTCTCCTTTAATAAAGTGATACAGTTTGCTTGTGTGTTTGTAGATCTGTGGTTATATTAGAGATCGTCAGTAATACTATAGCAAAATGCTGAAGCAGTGTAATATACATACGTTTCTTTTTTTTATATTTAGTAAGTAAAAGTTGAAGTTCGACTTTTCTACATAACATAGTCCGTTTTCTTTAAATTATCTTTTACACCTTTTCATCTGTCAGGAACCTGTGGAGGAATCAGAAGAATCCGTCCAGGAACGTCAAGCCTACACCTACAGCGCTCCTGAGGTGGGTACTGGTGAAGGTGACCATCAATATCATGAGTGTAGTAATTTCAAGGTTGTTCTGGGTTTCTATAGTGGTAAAGTAAGTTAAATATTTTCTTTCTTATTTCAGGATTATTCTGAAGAATATGATGACGTCAAATACGACTTCGACTGGTCAGTGAAGGACGAAGACTCCGGCAACGACTTCGGTCACCAGGAGTCTCGTGATGGTGACAACACCAAGGGGTCGTACACCGTGCAGCTTCCCGACGGTCGTCTGCAGACTGTGACTTACTACGTGGACGGTGACTCAGGCTACGTGGCCGAGGTCAGCTACGAGGGTGAGGCTCAGTACCCCGAGTCTTCTGAGTATCGTCAGTATGAGCCACCTACTCCTCGGTACACTGCCTCTGAGCCAGAGGAGTCAGAGGAGGCTCTCGTGTACACCCCACCCAGGAGCCTGTACACTGCCCCCGAATCAGAAGAGTCAGAGGAGGCTCCCGTGTACCAGTACACCCCACCCAGGAGGCAGTACTTCGCCCCTCTCAGCTCACTGTACTCAGCACCATGATCTCATCACTGTCTCACCTCACTCTTAACACCACAATGTGACACATAGACCTTCACCACAGCCTGACGAGACGATGCAGGCATTACTCCTTAGATCATTATTATTAATGTAGAATTAATGATATTGATATCATTAAATTCTACAGACTTTGTACATTTCATGAATATTTATTCATAATAAATCTTCAAATACTAAACTGCACTATACATTCATTTCCTTTAAAAAAATTCCCTGAAATAAAGGGAATTTAGCTTTGAGAATTATATTTGTTATACATTCTGGGAAGTTTATTCTATACAGTGAAAATCTCATTAAATGTCAGAATTTGTTTTATTAGCCATCTTTTTCCTCCATCTCTATATCATCTCCTACATTCATCCTCACTATATAACCCTTCTTCTCCCTCTATATTTCTATTACCACAATATCATAATCTCAAGCACTAAATAGTATATGATATAGCTTCATAATAACTATACTCGGGACATCTTGTAAAATACGTGAGTTGTTGTGTTCCGTCACCAAGACCATAACTGACCACCTGCCTCTATCTGTCCCTCTTCACCTGTCCCTCTCCACCTGCCACTCTCCACCTGTACCCCTCCACCTGTCCCTCTCCACCTGCCACTCTCCACCTGTACCCCTCCACCTGTCCCTCTCCACCTGCCACTCTCCACCTGTCCCTCTCCACCTGTCCCTCTGCACCTGCCACTCTCCACTTGTCCCTCTCCACCTGTCATTCTCCACCTCGTTCTCTCCACCTGTACCTATCCACCTGTACACCTCCACCTGTCCCTTTCTACTTGTCCTTCTCCATTGTCCCTCTCCACCTGTCCCTCTCCACCCGTCCTTCTCCACCTGTCCTTCCGTCACAAAAAAACTCACATATAATAAACAAGATTCTTCATCACTTGGCCTTAAGAATAGTGTTTCCTGATACACTTCCTGTATACTTCAAACAAATAAGGAAACCACTATCTCGGGAGCCTCTAGCCACCACCTCCACCACAACAAGACGAGAGAATCAAGGAACTAAGATGATTTGTTTTGGTATTTTTCTTAATAATTACTTTTGCATTATAAATATATAGGATTCCTTATCGTCAGACAATCCAATCGAATAATAATAATACACTCTATCAAAACATTTCAGTAACCTTCATCCTCACATACGCCATTTTATCGACTTCAATTTCTCTGGTAATTTTCAAGACCTTTACATTTAATCAGTAATTATATTCTCTTTACGGGAGTAAATACGTGGAATTGTTTATTAGTTTACATTGAATATAAAGATCGAGTGTCTGAAGAACTGAACTCCTTAGTTCAATTCAATTTCAATTGTTTATTCCTTGATAGAGGAAGCGGGATCCTAGTGCTGTCACTAGGTACCCCTGTACAATGACACCAGAATCATCTGGCAAGTGTGAAAAGTATATACAGTATAAATATTATAAAGGGGCTTACTAAAGCCTAAGGAAGGAAGGATGTTCCTTTAACACATAATTAATATTATTTACAAAATATCTGGCCAGTATTGGGAGGATCATCGTGTCTCCGTCAGGGGGTCGTGGAGTGGTGGTCCAGCAGGCGTCACGGAAGCGTTGTGTGTGGGGACATCTTAGGAGGTAGTGGATAAGGGTGCGGCTGTCGGGTCTTCTGCATAACGCACAAGAGCGTTGCTCAGGGGATGTGGGGATACCAATCTCCCAAGCAAAGTCATACCCGATGATGATACGGGCAGCAATCACGTCCCCCTTCCGCGACCCTTTCCCGTAGACGTACGAGAAGTCAGGAAGTTTACGGAGGACATCGTACCATGTGGGCGGGGAGTCCAGGGGGATGGCTGCTTCCCGAGCTTCTCTCTGTTTGCGGCGGATTTGGGTCCTAATCTGTAAGAGTGTTCGAGGAACAACGTAGTCAGGTGTGGCCTTGTTGCAGCCAGTCTTGGCAAGGTCATCTGCTGCCTCATTCCCCAAGATACCGACATGACTAGGTATCCATAGGAATGTCACAGGACGGCCTTCATCCTGAAGTGTGGATGTTAACCCTCGTATTCGGAGGATGAGGTCCTTATTTTCCCCAGATCCAAATGCGATCCCGTCGAGAGCAGACCTGGAATCGCAGCAGACAAGCAAGGGGCAGAAACCATCTGCTTCTTCCTCAGCGAGAAGGGCAGCAAGGAGGGCTATTAGTTCAGCCTGAGTGGAGGATGCCCCGTCAGAAACTCTGAGAGACAGTTTGATAGGCTCAGGGGCATGAGGACGGGAGATGTAGACACCAGCCCCGGCCCTACCTGTAGCGGGGTCAACAGAACCATCAGTGTAGAGGACGACCCTACCTGGGGACCAGTGAGCGATCCTGGAGAGGTGGTATTTGCAGAGAATAACAGGGTTCACCTGGGATTTCGGGAGCGGTCCACCGAGGGCAATCACTTCAGGTTGAAAATCCAGCCAGGGAGAAGGAGACGAACCAACAGCAGGGGTGACAACAATATCAGGCAGGAGGTCGTGTTCCTGAAGGGCTCGGATGAGTGACCCTCGCCACTGTCTTCTAGATGGAGGTCGGTCTCGGACAGCAGTAGTCAAGTTGGTTTGGACATAGTTGCCCCTAGGATCCCGTAGAATGGAAACGGCAGTTTTTAGGTAAAACTCCTGGACACGATCCTGTAAGGGGGAAAGACCAAGTTCGGTATATAGAGAAGTAGAGCGTGTCCACTGAGGAGCCCCAAGGATGATACGAGCAGCTTTCCTCTGGATAACTTCGAGACGGTTGACAGCAGTCCGACTAATGTTGACGAGGGCAGGGGCGGCGTAGTCGACACAGGAACGGACAAAAGACTTGTACATGGTGAGAAGTACAGGGATGCTGGCACCAAGGGAACCCCTGCACATGGTAGAGAGGGGAGCGAGACGCCGAAAACATATGTCTCGAAGATAGCGGACTTCAGGGATCTGACAACGTGTGCGAGTTACATACACACCCAGGTATTTTGTCTCATTAACCCAGTCCAAGGGCGTTCCTGATAAGAAAAGGGGTGGAGGTACAACACGACCGTGCCACATGGCTTTTGTTTTCGCAGTTGAAAGAAGGAAACCAAGTGAATCACACTCTCTGGAGACCAGATCAAGGGCTTCCTGCATGCTGAGGTAGTCAGGGGCTTGGAGGAGGACATCGTCGGCATATCCTGAGTGGACAACTTCTGTCGGCCACGGGAGTGATGCAATGGAGTGCATGAGAGTGTTAAACAAGGTGGGACTCAGGACTCCACCTTGAGGGGTGCCGAGGTTCATTTCTTGAACAGGAGACATAGAGCCTTCAACGCGAACCCGGGCCTGACGTCCAGTGAGGTAAGAGGCGATCCATTGTAGAAGTCTCCCTTTAACCCCTAACCGTGCAAGTTCAGCTAAAATGAGGGCAGGCTGAGCCGTATCAAAGGCTCCCTTGATATCAAGGAAGACGGAGACGCGGGCAGTCTGATTGCAATAAAAGGAAGCAATGGAGTGTGCTGTGCTGCGATGTTGAATGAAACCATTGAGGGAGTTGTGGAAGCCGCCTATGGTGTGAAGAAGGCGACGATGGAGTATCCTCTCCATCATCTTGCAAACACAGGAGGTAAGACTAATGGGTCGATATTTCCCAGGATCTCCCGGCTTAGGGATGGGGATAATAGTGGCATTTTTCCAGTTGGACGGGAGAACCCCATGTTCATAAGACATATTGTAGAGAGCAAGCAAGGGGCCGTTAGGAATATTAGTACAGGCGTTGAGGACGGAGTAGGTTATCTGATCATCCCCAGGAGAGGTGTCTTTTCTAGAGCGACGAGCACTGTCAAGCTCGAACTGTGTGATGGGATGATCAGTGGGGGCAGGGGAGGTAAGAGCAGCACGAACAACAGGCTCAGACGCATCGATGCGGGCCTGCACTGCCTCCTGCATTGGATCTGGAAGTGCCTCTGGGGAGGAAGCTCGTGCCCAGTCCTCCATTAAAGAGCAGGCAAGGGAGGCGGGATCAGGGTGGGGAGGAGGCCTCCGTCGAGTACCCCGTATAGCATTAATCCGATTCCATACATAAGAGGGTGACGACTGGAACGATAGAGACCCCGTGAAGGATAGCCAGTCCGCCTCACGTATCCGACGGCGCTCCTGAGTTGCAAAGGAGCACCAATTTTTGAAGTCTTCCCAGTCCTCTGGAGACCGAGACCTCCGTATGGCAGAGTGGAGATCACGGGTTACCTGCCGGAGATGTCTCATGGCAGGGATACGATACCAGTAGTTGGTGGCACTTCTGGGGTGACGGGGAGGGCGTGGAGGGGTAGCGCGATTGACAGAGTCATACACGGCATCAACAAAATCAGCGCTGTAAGAGTCAAGGGACTGAGGGACAACATAGGAATCCGCCCAGGTAGAAAGGTATTGGGTAAAGGAAGGAACAGCATCTTGTGTGAGACGAAGGCGAGGGGATCGATAAGGAGTTGATGTCGGGGCAGAGAAGGAGAGCCTGAGATGGGTAGTAACGGCAAGATGGTCACTATACAGAGCAGGCTCGGTGCAGACGGTAGGATGAAAGGAAGTATGACCGTTCAATAGTAAGCCAACATCAAGGAAACTATGGGGGAGGCGAGTAGGATCGTCAGGACAAAGAAAGCGAACATCATCATCCCCATTAAGAAACTGTGAGAGATGTGATCCATTAAGGGTACATGGAGTGGGATGATCCGGAGTAAGAGTGGGATGGCGGGCATTAAAGTCGCCAAGAACAATAGTGGGAACCCCATCATGGAGGTCGTGAAGAACCTGGGGGTCCAGAGAATTACTCTTGAAATGAACATTGACTACACGAAGGGTCCGGTCACCAAGAGTAAGGGAGACAGAAAGTAATTCAGACGGGGGTCCATGTGAGTCAGGTGAAGGGAGACGAACAGATGGAATGGTGTTACGCACAAGGGTGAGGAGGCCACGAGCCTGCCCACGGTACCGAGGCAGGGTGTAAACAGAATAGCCAGAGAGGCGGAGTGGAGTAACATCGTCTGTGATGGTTTCCTGAAGTAGAGCAACATCTACTTGATGGGAGAGCACAAACTGGGCGAGGTCTGTCCGGCGAGGTCTAAGTCCCTGGATGTTCCATTGTAAGAAGAGGAGGGAACGGCCTCCGGTGTGAGATGAGTCGGAGGGGCTAGACAGGGCTCCAGAGGAGGTACCAAATTCTGTTGAGAGAAATGGAGAGGGAGGAGTGGGAGAGCGAGGGATGGATCCTCCATCTCGGGAGATGGAAGGAGGCGGGTCATCAGGGCTTGCAAAGCGCGCCCCTGTTGGGTCAGGGTGTCCAGAATGAGTTGTTGTTGCTTCTGCAATGTCGCAATTGTTTTCACAAACAAGTCGAGTTGGGCTGAGAGAAGGTTGATTTGCTTGGAGTGGCGATCCAGACGGAGAGTGATTGTTTCCATAGAACCAACTTGGTGTACCTGTGCATGAGCTGGAGGTGGCGGCGAGGATTGCCGAGGGCCCGACTGGGCATGTGGTGGTGGTAGCGACGGAGAGGGACGGTGAGGGTTCAGTTGAGTAAGAGGTGGTGGTGCTGGTGAGAGACAGCGGGGGTCCGGGTGGGCAGGAGATGGTGGTGACTGTGTGGCAGGGCCGGCAACGACCTTGTTCCAAGAACGGTAGGGAGAGGGAGGGAGGGGAGAAAGGATGGGTGGTAGGGGTGATGGAGGGGGTGGTAGAGGAGAGGAGATCAATGGGAAATCCTTGGTGGATGGAAGAGGCGGTGGTGGATAGGATTGAGGTTTGGTTGACAGGGGCTTCGTCAGAGACGAGGGCGGTGGTACAAGGTAAGTTTTCCCCGGGCGAGTGCCAGGACGCTGTGGGCAATTGGCATTCCAGGCGTGGTGACTGCCATGGCAATTGACGCACCGTGGAATAACTGGGATTTTGTTCTGAATTTTCGATTTGCATTCCACTGTGTCGTGAGGACCTGCACAGAAACCGCAGGCGACCATCCTCGTGCACTCCCAGGTGCGGTGTTTCCACGATTGGCAACGACCACAGATTTTCGGGGTTCCGATAAATCGGTCGAGAGGACAGTTGTGAATTGGTCCTACATTCACCTTCGGGGGGAGGGGGCCCACCCACCAGCCGATGAGTTCGTTGGATGGATGTTTGGAGACCGGGTTGATGCGGCGTTCCATGTCCAGTAGTTGTGGGAGAAGAGGGCGAAGATCGTCGATAGGGATCTCCCAGGGTACGTGGCGAACCATTACCTTGGTACGACGAGTTTCTGGGGTGATGATGGTGAACTTCAGCATCACCTCCCCCTGGGGAGCAGGAAAGCCCACCTGAGTGAGCAGGCGTACCGTCTCGTCCATTTGTGTGGTGACTATCACGGCTGTGGGACCTCGGCGGAGGCGAAGTGTTGAGTCCTGAAGTGGAGAGCAGTGACGGAAGAACCAGGTCGTCCGTGTGCTCAGAGGCAAGTCCCGAGGGAAGGCGAGACGACGAAGGCGCGACGGGGCAGGGAGACAAAGGGAATCCCCTATGTCCATCGTCGGCGGAGGGTCGGTCATTGAGCCACATGTAGGCTCACTTGGGGACCCTGATGACAGGAGTCCACCCTCTACAGCCCCAGAAGGGGTGCAAGGGGGAGCCGTGGCCCCTGCTGGAGACCCTGACTTCTGAGGTTTCTGCTTCTTCTTTGACGTGTCTTCAAGAAGAAAGTCGTCAGCATCACTGTCACCTACTGCCGCCGTTTCCAACGAACGGGAGCGTTTAACGGCGGGCATAGGACACGTTGGCAACACTGCAGTCAGGTGGAGTGGTAATGACGTCACACTATCACACTGCGCATGCGCAAACTTGAAAACTTTGCTCAGAGGGATCGGGTGGTAGGACCAGATGTTTTATCCCCAAAAAATGACAAAGTCCAAAAGTAACAAAAAAATATATGCCACTGTGCTGATAACTGGGTCTTACTGTAGTTGTCTACACAGGCTGGGATTGGTAGACTCTCTGAATTCGTCAGAAATACGAATTTTAAGGAGCAGTCTCTTACAGCCTTTGTTGACACTACGCACGCATGCGCGTTTCTCCATCAATAGGTCCTCCTTAGTTATTTATTTTTTTCAAGTGTAATCTTTGTATACTGAGGTTGGAATTGTCGAACACAGATGTCGCTTGTTCGGTACAGGCATGCGGTCACCATTCTCACCAGTTACCCCGACGACTTGACACTGGTCGCAGCGGAGTTGTCCCACACTTACAAAGACCAGCCAGCCCTGAGCACCCATGACTCTTCTACTGTTTTTGTTTCTAACTGGTATGTAAAAATGCTATGTATGTTAAGTGCGTTGTATTTTAGCAGCGGTTTAGTATTAGCATTATTTTTCTTCGTAAGGCGCTAAAAGTATCCAAAGTACCCGGCTGTGTGCGTTAAGAGTGTGTCTGGTATGCAGAGATAAGGTGGGGTAGGCGAGGTCGTTGTGAAACATTGGTACCACAGGTGAGAGTGAGGTTATCATTAAGGTGGTATTCAAAACATTGGTCCTGTTAAGTCCTCCGTCTCATCCACGAACCCTAAGACTAATGAACCTGTGAATCCGAGACATCACACGACCCAATACATCATCTATGGGCCCAGCACTGTGTGATGTCTCGGATTCAGGGGTTCGTTAGTCTCAGGGTTCATGAATGGGACAGAGGACATAACACTTCAGACTTTGATATCCACCATCACTAACACCCGCGAGTGTACTTACTGTAATGCCCGTAAGAGAACTTCACCTATTTTACTGAGACTAATACAGAACCAGCTCTTGAGGGCTAAATAGCAAATAGTTCTATCTACTAATTTATAATTATTGATAGACTAGTGTAAATAACTAACCAAATTACACCTTTAAAGTCCATAGTTGTCAAAGCACAGTAATACTTTATAATAATATTAAGAAACAATAACTCGATCAACAATGTCAAATATGCACAAAAAATAACTATCTACATATTGGTTCGTGGAGATGAATACATGATACATTGGTTGAAGATTTATTATGAATAAATACTCATATGTACAAAGCTTTGAAATAGTTTATGAAAATATCACAGAGAAGCAGTTATGAGTTGAGGAGTTATGAGTTGAGTCACCTCCTCGTACAGAAACAAGGTGATGTCTCAGGTGTAATGTGTTAGCTGCGAGGTGAGACAGTGAATAGGGAGTGGCAGCGAACGGCTTAGTGGGTGTTGTGTAGAGCCGCTTAGGTGGGGTGTACACGGGAGTCTCCAATGACTCTTCAGACTCGGGGGCAGTGAACCGTCTCCTAGGTGGTGTGTACACGGGAGTCTCCATTGACTCTTCAGACTCGGGGGCAGTGTACCGTCTCCTAGGGGGTGTGTACACGGGAGTCTCCATTGACTCTTCTGACTCGGGGGCAGTGTACAGTCTCCTCGGTGGGGTGTACACGGGAGCCTCTGTTGTCTTTTCTGACTCGGGCAGTGTACAGTCTCCTCTGTGGGGTGTACACGGGAGTCTCCACTGACTCTTCTGACTCAGGGGCAGTGTACAGTCTCCTGGGTGGGGTGTAATGGGAGGCTCCACTGACTCTCTCTGACTCAGGGGCAGGTTGTCTTTCTGACTCAGGGGCAGTGTACTCTCCTGTAGTGTACACGGGGTGGTGGGGTGTACACGGTGAGTCAGTCCACTGACTCTTGCTGACCTGTCAGGTACTCTGTCTCCTGGGTGGGGGTGTACACGGAGAGTCTCCACTGACTCAGGGCAGTGTGCTGTTCTAGGTGGGGTGTACACGGAAGTCTCCACTCTTCACCCAGTGTACAGTCTCCTGGTGGGTGTGCACGGAATTTGTTGTTTTTTGACCAGGGCAGTGTACAGTCTCCTAGGGTGGGGTGTACACGGGAGCTCCTGGTTCTGTACTGACCAGGGGCACAGTCTCCTGGGTGGTGTACACGGGAGCCCACTGTACTCTGACTCAGGGGCAGTGTACTCTCCTGGGTGGTGTGTCTTAATGACTTTCTGACTCAGGGGCAGGCACAGTCTCCTAGGTGGGGTGCATGGGAGCCCAGAAGGGGTGTACTGACTCAGGGCAGTGTACAGTCTCCCTAGGTGGGGGTGCACGGGAGCCCCAGTTGTCTCTTCTGACTCAGGGCAGTGTACAGTCTCCCAGGTGGGGTGTACACGGGAGCCCTCTGTTATCAAACTGGACTCAGGTGCAGTGTACAGTCTCCCTGGGTGGGGGTGTACACGGGAGTTCCAGCTACCTTCTGACTCAGGGCAGTGCAGCCTCCTAGGTAGGTGTACACGGGGTTTACTGTTGTCTCTTTCTGACTCAGGGCAGTGTACAGTCTCTCCTAGGGTGGGTGTACACGGGAGCCCCTGTTGTCTTACTGACTCAGGGCAGTGTACAGTCTCCTGGGTGGGGTGTACACGGGGAGTCTCCACTGACTCTTCTGACTCAGGGGCAGTGGTGGACAGTCTGTCCTAGGGGCAGTGTGGGTGGGGTGTACACGGGAGCCTCTCTCTGGACTCAGGGGCAGTGTACAGCTCCCTAAGAGGTGTACACGGGAGCTACAGTGACTGTCTTTCTGACTCAGGGGGTACAGTGTACAGTCTCCTACAGGGTGGGGCAGGTACACGGGAGCCTCAGTTGTCTGCACTGACTCAGGGGGCAGTGTACAGTCTCCTAGGGTGGTGTGTACACGGGAAAGTCTCTACTTCTCTTCTGACTCGGGGCAGTGTACAGTTCTTAGGTGTAAAGTGTACACGGGAGCCTCTGTTGTCTGTACTAACTCAGGGGCCGTGTACAGTCTCCTTACTGGGGTGTACACGGGAGTCTCTTCTGACTCAGGGGCAGTGTACAGTCTCCTGGGTGGGGTGTACACGGGAGTCTCCACTGACTCTTCTGACTCAGGGGCAGTGTACACTCTCCTAGGTGGGGTGTACACGGGAGCCTCTGTTGTCTTTTCTAACCCAGGGCAGTGGGGGTGTACACGGGAGTCTCCACTGACTCTTCTGACTCAGGGGCAGTGTACACTCTTCTAGGTGGGGTGTACACGGGAGCCTCTGTTGTCTTTTCTGACTCAGGTGCAGTGTACAGTCTCCTGGGTGAGGTGTACACGGGAGCCTCCTCTGACTCAGGGGCAGTGTACAGCCTCCTAGGTGGGGTGTACACGGGAGCCACAGTTGTCTGTACTGACTCAGGGGCAGTGTACAGTCTCCTGGGTGGTGTGTACACTGGAGTCTTCACTGACTCTTCTGACTCGGGGGCGGTGTACCGAGGAGTGGGTGGCTTGTACTGACGATACTCAGAAGACTCGGAGTACTGAGCCTCACCCTCGTACTTGACCTTGGCCACGTAGCCTGAGTCACCGTCCACGTAGTAAGTCACAGTCTGCAGGCGACCGTCGGGAAGCTGCACGGTGTACGACCCTTTAATATTCCTGTTGTCACGGTCCTCTTGGTGGACGAAGTCGTTGCCGGAGTTACCGTCCTGTACTGACCAGTCGAAGTCGTATTTGGTCACATCATATTTTTCTGTATATTCCTGAAATAAAAACGTCCCGATTAGTTAACCAATTTCAATAAAAGGTAATAACAAACGATTTGTAATTATACACACGTTAATGGACCCATACACCAGTACCTACCTTAGGGACGCTGTAGCTGTGGGCTGGTCTGGTTTCGGGTGACTCTACTGATGCTTCCACTGGTTCCTGAATAAAGGTCAGAGGATAGTGAAGGGTGACGGATGCTACATTACATCTATTACAAGAATTTCTGGTGATTTACTATATACGTTTCATATATATAACCTCTGTCTTTAGTGATATAAGTTATTGATAAGTGATGAATGTTTACAGGTTTAGTCTCGCATCCCTTTTACCATTCCACACTCCTGCTCTTAATTATATATATTTAAAGATACAGGAACAGTTTAGTTGCACAAAAAATATCACTTAATTCCAAAAGTAAATGTAATCCGAATAGTTTTTCCAGTGTGAATATTTACCCTCCTCTTACGTAATTAATTAGGATATTTTAACCGTATCAAGTGAAGGAATGTATTTATAGATCACTTATATGTAAAACTTGATAAGAAATTTGGTGATGGAGTTAAAACATTATCTTATGCTCGTAATATCCCTCGCCTGTGTTAATGAATCTGGCCTTAAACCTACACAAGAATGACCTAACCCGAGTAAGACTGTCTTGGGTAACTGGTCGCTGGTGGAGGGAGAGTAACACTTACCCGAGGAGCTGTGTAGAAGTATAATGGGGCGGAGGGTGAGTCAGCCACGGCAGCAGTCACCACAGCCAGCACCGCCACCACCTGTGAACATACATAGCTTTAGAAAATCATGTTCTTGATGTAAATAGATGAGTCAAATGACGTCTTATAATAACACACACACAAACTCGAGTCATTAATAGATGTACACAGAGAAACTACATCATTCAAATTAGCTTCTATAGTGATTTTTAAATTATAGTTCTCTTTACGTAATCATATCAAAACACTATGATTTACGAGCACTATTTATCGACACCTAATTATCACAACTGTGCTTGTCAGCATCAACGTTTCTGAAATATCAAATAATGACACCAAATCTGCTTCACCTTTAACGTCATCTTGCTGTGGAGGTTTTGGGAAGACTGTCATCTACCCAGGACACTACCAGTATATATCCCTGAGTCGTGACGTCGCCTAACTGACCTCGAGCGGGGGACTACCTGATATGTTTTTCAGGGTGGAAGAGCAAGTCAAAAAAAACTGGTCGCGGCAAGTGTTCAGGGAGGCGCTTCCGGAGTGTACTTGATCCATGTAATACTTTAAAAAATATTCTTCCATTAATCTTCTTTCCACCTTTTATCACGGAGGATTAATACATATATTATACTCGATCGGATAAGGGTAATTATGCCTCTCTCGTCGTCTGGGGGTGTATATGTGAGAAGGGGGAAACTTAACGAAAGCTATTATTAAGCTTACGCAACGAGGAAATAATAAACTTTAACACTAAGGTCGTAGACTGGTATTAGTTACTGGTTAACATTGTCAAGTTCTTCAAGCACGATTTTAAGAGAGAAACAGACCGAGATAGAGGGATATTGGACGTGGGTGGAGTCGTTCATATATTATTTTTAAATGTATCCAGTCTTCCTGTTCTCATACCGTGTTTCGTATTATCATTTTGTCAATAAATCTGGATAATAATTTGATATTTCCTGAATTTGAAGTCCCTGGTTAAGAAATTCTTCATTATTTTTGTTATTATTATTATTAGTAGTAATTATACCCACATTATTTTTACTGTTATTATTATTATGAGCTAAACACAACACTCAAATATTATGAGCTATTCACCTGGAATTATTTTATTTTTTTGGATAACCTTAAAATGATTAAGTGATGAAGGTCTGGTATTTATGTTAACATTTATGAATATGTTTCCGTGTAGGACATCATGTTACCACCGTGAAGCTTATCAATAGTATGTGGTGATGAGTTACTTTTACTTTTTACTTTTATGTTCTTCACCACTGATCGGCTCGTTAGCCGCTTGGGTGATCGATCACGTCTCTGTTACGCACTGTTGGCAAGTAATGGGCAAGTACTGGCTCAAGTTTAGTCTTGAAAGAGCTCACACTCGGTGCCTTCACCACACTTTCTGGCAGATTGTTCCAAGAGTTCACAACTCTCACTACGAAAAAGTTTGCCCTCACAATTTTTTGAACCTGCGTCTTCTTCAATCTTGAGCTGTGAACCCTAGTGGGGCGAGCGTCCGCCAGCTTCAGGTAAGGACACTTGACTGAGTAGTGCCCCTTGAGATGCTTATACACCTAAATTAGGTCCCCCCTTGCCCGTCTGTAGTATAAACTATGCAAGTTCAGGCGCTCCAATCTCTCAGGGTAGCTGAGGTGCCGAAGTGCAGGCACCAGTCTCGTGGCCCTCCTTTGAACATTTTCAACCAACTGACAGTCCCTAGCATATCTCGTGGACCAGAAGGGGTGACAGTACTCCAGATGGGGAAGCACTTCACTCTTGAAGATCGTTACGAGGGACGGACCGTCTAAATATCTGAACGACCTTCTTATAAGACCCAATATTTTATTTACCTGATTTACCTTCTTCTCGCAATGGCCCGAGAACTTCAGTTCATTGTCAACATACACACCTAGGTCCTTCTCTCATTCAATCTCAACTAGTGCAGTTTCTTCATCCCGTTGGGACATATGATACGCATCCTTACCGTTGGTACGCCCCAGGTGCATCCTCTTACACTTCATGACATTGAATCTCGGTAGCCATTTCTTTGACCATTCCTGGAGCCCACAGAGGTCCTTCTGCAGCTCTTCACAGTCCGCTTGGTTCTTAATTTCCCGAAATAACTTGGCGTCATCGGCAAACATTTGTATGGAGGAGTATACAACGTCAGGCATGTCATTTATGAAACAAGCAAACAACAGCGGGCCCAATACACTGCTCTGTGGTACCCCACTTGTGACAGGTACAGATGACGATTTCGTGCCATTAATCACCACACACTGCTTGCGGTCATGTAGAAAGTCTTCTATCCACGCTAGGACATTTGTCCGAATTCCGTACCCTTCCAGTTTGATTTTCAGCCTTTCGTAGGGTACACTGTCGAAAGCCTTGGCAAAATCTAGGTAAATATTGTCGATATTACCACCCCGTTCCAGAATATGGGTCCAAATATCCAACACCTGGTAATACTCATAAGTACTTTACATACTATGCTGGTCAGGCACACTGGTCTATAGTTGTTCGTGGAGTGACGATCTCCCTTCTTGAAGATAGGACTCACACAAGCCTTTTTCCAATCACTGGGGACCATTTGTTCATCCAGGCATTTACAAAACAGGATCTTCAGGGGCACGGCAAGCTCGTTGCACAACTCTCTTATCACTCTGGGATGCACCATGTCAGGGCCGGGACTGTTATGGATCTTTATCTTTGACAGTTTATTTCTTATACCCTCTTCTGTGAACACAATGTGGGTCACTGCTGTGTCGAACCGTCTGTCCTCAAACGCAGGAAGATTAATCGCATCTTCTCTTGTGAACACCGAGGAAAAGAAGCTGTTCAATGCCTCGGCTTTATCCTGGTCAGAATCTGCGTAACTTCCATTTTTAAGCCTCAGGTCTGATACTCCTACTCGCGTTTGCTTGGTTTCTGGCTCTTGCATACACCCTGTCCTGCTCATCGTTTGCCCTAACCCACGTCTTGAATTTCTGGGGTTTCTTCTTAACTTTATCGACCGCCGCATGGTTCATGTGTAGGGATCCCCTCGTATTCCTAGAGGCACTGGGTTTGGTCTTGGGTATATATTTATCGATCAAATGGGTCACTTTACTAGTTATGATATTCAGCATAGTGTCTGCGTTCTTGTGCCTTAATGAGTCAGGCCAGTGGATACCCCTCATCTCTTCCCTCATCCCGTCGTAATTTCCCTTGTAATATTTGCACCTTGGCCTGGCCTTATCTTGAACTAGGTAACAGTTAAATCTGAATGACAACACTATATGGTGACTGGTGCCAACTGGGGCAAGGTGTTCCAGTTTGGCCACCATACCCTCCTCGTTTGTTATGATGAGGTTTAGTGGCTTGGGTGTTTGCTCCCCTCTGTAATGTGTCGGGTCTCTAACATGTTGGAACAAATAATTATCTCCTAAGAGTTTCTACAAAAAGAGTAGCAGGGTTATTCTAGTCATTTGGGGTGAACTCGTTTCTCCAGTCGATGTCGCCATAGTTAAAGTCCCCCATGATAAGGCGGTGGATAGGGTTGAGCATCGCTGCCTTGTCTATTAAGGCTCTTAAGTTTAGGTTATGTTAAAGTTATAAACATAAGAGAAACAGAAAGAGATAGAGAAAGTTTGGGGGGGAGAGATTGAAAAACCCTATAGTCCAAATTAGTTGAGTTTATCAACTTTACATTTTCTTTAATAGCAAAAATTGCATATTAAAGACAATAGTTTATTGGTAACTCAACTATTACGAGTATAGGGTTCCCTCGCTCAGTTTATTTCATCTGATGATTAAACACCCTAACGCTATCTTTGAAGGGGTACTTAGGTTATTTTACATTAGAATAGGCCAGTTTTGGTTAGGATATACTAGGCTTGATGCGGTTAAGTTAGTATTAAGGCGATTAATCTAATGGTGAAATAAGCATGTTGTGCCCAGTCTTCATCGAGCGTTTGTGTGGATATTTCAGTGTTTTCTGCAACCCCTTTTACATTTATATATAGCACTTAAATATGCTCTTATATAAACATTTATAAAAATACGTGAGGAATGTCATAGATTAATTCATCTTTACCTTGACCGTGAGAGTGGCGTAGAACCCTTGGGTTAATGCTTACACCAAAAGGAATTTACCACCAAATTAACTATGATTTAAAATATTCTTGATAGATATGACAAAGTACACATATTATCATCTTATATTATTTCAGTATTACGTTTTCTCTAAATATTTAAGATATGTTACTTGGAAGACATTGTTGTAGGTAATACCTTCACCATTATTTTGTTGAGTTCCCCAGCGAGTATACACCATTTTCTCTTATTGTTAGCATATACAATTCTCAGGCCTTCGGTACAACGTATTCTTAGATATAAAAAGACATACACAGGAATTTATATGTACGTAAACGTATTGGGGAACATCTACGAACTCTTGCACGGGCATAATTATACAGTACACATGCACTCTCGGACATTTGCAAACACACAATAAAACACATCGCCTCTCCACACTCATGATTAACAATAACCTGAATACAAAATAACAAAAACACTAGTAAATAATAATAATATAAACTAGAAAAAAAACAAATGCTGGAATAAATCAAATTGACTTGTTGTGTATATTCCAAGCGTAACTACTGAAGGGTTTCCCACCACTCACCACACTCCACTGAACTGAATACATTTGTTTACTAATTCCACAAATTCCTCTGGTATCTTTAACCCGATCTGGTTGAAACTCAGTGTGTATACTCTCTGGTCCACAAGGAGTGTCCTATTGGGTGTAGATCGTTGGTCCAAGGTTGTAATATATCATGATAAGGAGATAGATTTAGTACGTCAATTCATTATTTCCTCCAGGGTATTTGAGGTGATGTTAGTGATATTTTGCGAGGTATGAGGAACGTTCTTTGAGGTTCAATCTCATCCAGGTTAACGTTCACACTATGATCCTTGAACCTCGGTCAAATCTCACCCCAGTCGATTCCAAGTGACTTGATAATTTGGTGACTACGTTGTAACCTGTTTCTGCGATGACTTGAAATCCGTGAAATGATAGAGAAAAATGAATTTACTTCACGTATAATAGGAAGCTATATTTGTTTAGGAGACCTTGGCTATATAGTAAAATAGACTAAAGTATATATGATTTTGTATTTTGTTTCTTATCATGGTCTTTTGATGATAATATATGGGAATTTTTTAATATAATACTACATATACTTTACATACTTTTGTTTGATAGACTAACAACCATTATTATATTACCAAGAAAATATTATTATTTTGAGAACAACCGATTATAAAATTTGGTAATATGTAAGGATTTTTTTATATATTATTTCTCCTATATATTTGTTTAGGGAAATATTGCATGGTT